CGAAGGCAACTCATGGAGATACTTTAGCAATTTATCGGAGGGACTAGATGATTTTTATAGGCAATGTCGCAGGGTCATCGAGGGACTATGATCTTTATTCGAAGGGACTTTGCTAAAGTATCCCCACTTTCGAGGGACATGACCATCATCCGAAGGCAACAAAGAGAGGTTATCCTAGAGGTGTGAAGTGTGAATAGTGTGTTCAATTCAGTTATTTATCTTGAATTAAGGTTTTCTAACGATTTTTTTTTAGATCTTGCCGTACACGCCTAATTACTAGCAATATAATATGTACAGAAAATTAAAGGTGCGGAAAGAAAAATCCTAAGCTATTACAGGGTTTTGGGGCAATTACATAAAAAAGATACGGAAAATAAAGTGTGGAAATTAAACTCTAGACTATTACATCCTGTAAGCAGTTACATAATAGAAAAAATGTGGAAAGATAAATCTAAACTATTTCAAGAAAAAGTCGCGCGACCTATACAATTTCTATAGGAATTTAAATGCAAAATAAAATTTGTTTTAAAATGTTTGAATGTGATGAAATTAATTTGATGTCAATTAAATAGTTAAAACCCTAAGTCTAATTAATTTTAATTAATAAAAATATTAATTAACCTAATTAATTAGTAAGTAAAAAAAGTCAAAATTAATTATTGATTAAAAAAGCTAAACCTAATTTGTTAGTGTTTTTTTAAAAAGGTTAAAATTGATTATTGATTAATTAAGGAAAATAATTAGGGTTAAGGAAAAAATTAGGGTTAGTAATTAAAAGAAATTAGAATAAAAAAAAGAGAAAAGGTTAAAACTGCATGGGCTGAGTGTTGAACCCACGCCCTCTAGCTTCAAAGTTGTATATCTTGCTACCAGGCCAAGCGCTGGTTGGTGATAAGAAACAGGCGCTGAACCCACGCCCTTAGATATCAATGCCTTAGCGTGCGTTCTTGCCACTAGGGTGGTTGTTTCATCTGTTAATAAAATAAAACAAAATAAATACAATATGAAACAAAACAGGTGGACCAGAGAAGCGCCGAAGCCCTAGCTCCGATCATCTTCTCTGGTGAGCACGTTTTTATACCTGCGAAAGTAAAATGTGTTAATGATCAAAGAGGACCCTACCCCCTAATTTGGGGGCTGTGAATTCATTGGTGGCCTTAGTTATGGCTGAATCGTCCTGTACAAAAAGATATAAAGAAAACAAAGCAAATCGGTTCAAACATGGTGATCCATCATCCTGGCATTATGGGACTCATGTTAGGGTTCAATCCTGTATAGTTTTGTCTCAGAAACATATTGCACACATTAGTTTCAATCAAAGCATAATAAAAACTAAAATACGAAATTCAAGAAAACATGTAAATCGGTGATGCATGCAGTGCTCGTTTCAGGCTTCTTTGATCATAAAAAATGATAAATACTTACTTTATAACACCTCAAGAGTCGATGTGGATGGTCGGTTTTCTTTGAAAGTTGTTGTATGAGAGGTTTCAAGTTTTCCCTAGTTTGACAAAATTTGAGGTTTTGAGTGAGTGTTCTTGCAAGATTTTTCGTGTCCTTATTGTCTGAATATGTAGGGTATTTATAAGAGGATTAGATTAGGTCAAAGGTGGGCTTGGACCTCTTGTAAAATAATCTTTGATTCTTGTTTGAAAATAAAATTGGAATAAGACAAAACATGAAGATTTGTTTTGAAAATAAGCTTCACATGACTTACAACATATCTTTGGGCCTCCATAATGTTTGAAACAAAAGCCTTTTATGTCTCACACCTCCCTTTGATATTTATTTGATTTAATTTTGAATTTAAATAAATAAAACCAAAATAAATGAAATAAAAAAATTAAAAGGTTGCATGAATAGATTTAGAGATCCATTATGAGGTCAAGAACACATTTGAATTCTAAAAGATAAGCCCATCAGCCCAAAAATTCAAGTTTTCTCAATTTGGGCTTCATGCATTTCTCAAAAATTGTCAAACTTGCACCAATCATAACTCACTCAATTTTTGTCATATGAAGGTGATATTGGACTTTTTAGAAATCTCAAGATGTCCCCTACAAGTCTATTGTTGATAATTTTCCCATTTTAAGATTTAAACATGATGTAAATTGCATTAACAAAAAGTGTCTTTTTGTTGACTTTTAAAATAACCTGTAATGTTTTGGCCCATATCTCTCAAATGAAGCATTTTTTGGACTTGAGTTTAGAGAGAAAAAGTTGTAGATAATTGAATTTCCTTCAAAATGAGATTTGGTTGAGAAAAATATGATGAAGTATGTGAAAGTTATGCTTGGTCAAAGTCCAGTTGACTTCTTCTAAAGAAAACCCTAATTTAGTAACTTTTGACTTATGATGAATCTTGAGTTTTCTTGATGAATCATGAGTTTTCTTGATGAATCATGATTAACCCTTGATAAAATGATGAATGTGACCTCAAAATATTGATGTTGACCAAAAATCTTGAAGTTTGATTGTATGTTGACCACAATTTACTTTTGTCCAATACAGTTGATTTTCACTTATCTGAGCAATTGACTGAGCAAATTTGTGATGTAAGGCTTGAAACTTGACATGAGGATACCTTGAAGTATATGAGAAACCATGAAATCCCCTTGAGGCATTAGAAGTCCAATTTTCTTTGAGAATCTCAAAACTCTAGTTGTAGGTCAATTGCTTAGGAGGATTCATCTGATCAATCTTTGAATAGTCTTGAGCAATTGAGAACCCTAAGAGCAAGAGGAATCTTTTTAAGTGGGAGGGCAAATTTTTGGGTACAATAAATAACAATACACTCAAAGTACTCGCATCTAAGAGGGAAACGAGAAAACACTAACTTTCTTAATCGAAGATAATCTCAATTGAAAATTAGCCTTTTGGGGGGCAATTTGTTAGCCAAGCATTTCCGACCAGGGCATAAATGGTGACAAGTGTTCCAAAAGTAGGAAACCAAATAAAAAGGTATCAGGTGAAGAAAGAATCATTGAAAGGAGGGCATTGAAGTTAGGTATCGTTGAAGGTTTTGGACTCAACAAAAAGTCCCAGTCGGACCAACCAAATGGCTTGAAGAGAAGCTTAAAAGAACTTAGCTAAATTTTATATAAAAGTCTTGTTGAAGCCCATTCGAACATATATGTAGTTAAAATAATAGTTTGCAAAAATGGTTGTCAAGAACATGTGGAAAGTGGCAAAGGCAATTTTGCATGAACCTGATACATGGGTAGGCTACAAATGGTCGAGCCTTTAGATAATAATCATTTTTATACCTATTTAAGCAAAGTTTGTATTCAGTTCTAGAAGTCGCATCTTTGTAACATTTCAAGGAAAATACTCAAAGTATCAGCGCTTAAGAGAAACGAGTTTATTCCAGAAAAATGTATGCATGTGTCCAATCTTAATTCTAAGTAATTTACATCTTTTTTAAGTTTCAAAGTCTTGTCTTTGTCTTTTTCTAGCAATTTATCTCGTTTGCTACTTGTTACTTCTTTACAATTCAGTTTCTTATCATTTCAAACACCGAAATCATACCAAACTTAACACTAAGTCTAGGATTTTTGTACTCGATCTTGTAAGTAAACTTCAATTAAGAAGCTAGAAATTATTCACAAGAAACCAGTGTGAACCCTAACATAGAATAATTTCTGAAAGTCGGGGCTAAGGGACATGGTGTGAACGTCGAGTTTTTGTTGAAAAAGAATTACAAGTGAGTAGTGTGGGGAAGTCCCACATTGGTTAAAAATATGGAGACTTGAGCATTTATAAGTGGGAGAACCCACACATATATCATCTTATAGTTTTGAGTGAATATGTAGTGTGTCTCTCACAAATGTGTGTTGCTCATAAAAGAAAAATTCCCAAGTTAAAAATGCTCCTCGTGTTGACCTTCTGAATTGCCCCAACAATTTTCAAAGACAGTGTCATTGTTCCGCATCAGTCGACCTCAACGACTATAATATACTCGCTCTAGTCCCATTTATAAGAAGAAAAAAATATTTTTTAGATACATTGAATAAATAATGTATCTGAATAATATATGTGAGAACTCTCACTTTTTTTACTTTTAAAAAAGACGGTTTGTAGGTTGAAGTGTATAAATGTTATATAGTATAAAAGGTTAAATATGTTTTTAGTTCCTATAAAATATCAAATTTTGATTTTGATCCTATAAAAAAACATGACATGTTTTAGTTTTACAAAATTATGACACACGTAGTTTTAGTCCTGGCTGTTAAATCGATATGTATTTTTGAATGATTATTTTATAAACATGTTTAGAACGTTATAAAAAATTCCTCTAAAAAAAAGAAACTCAAAATATGATTTCTAAATCGAGATTTTCATTACTTTTATTAATATCTTTTAAAATTAAAAAAAATTCATATTTAATTATTCTCATTTTAAAAAATTTTAAAATTTTAGAAAATAATAAAAACTAAAATTATATGAATAAAAATTTTTTAGAGACAAAAAATTCTCATTTATTTAATAGAGATTAAAAAAATTGAAATATTTATAAAAAATAAAAATATATTTAACCCTAATATAAATTATTAATAAAAAACATTTTCACTAACAAAAATACTAGTAAATGGTAAACTCAAATTTTAAAATAATTATAATGCATTGAACTTTATTTTTAGATGAAGTGACGAAAATAAATACTTAAAAGTTGTAGACAAGTTTACAATTTTTAATATAAATTTATATGAGGAATTATTAGACCTACGAGAAGGGTGGGTGACGAGTTGGTCAAATAAAAGTCATACAAAATGACACGAAATCCGGTTTAGTTATATTAATATTTTAAATAAACGGAAAAGTATCTCATTTATTTAGATTAAATCCAAAAATTAGAAGAAAAAAATGTGGGGCCAGTCTTCAACCCCACACGCGTATATTATTCCAAACCAAACATGTATTTATAGTCCCAACATGACCGGTTATTTATTTCATCACCATAGACGCTTTTCTTTTCTCAAACTCTCCGTTCGAACCTAACAATGGCAACGAATCCAACCGTCAACCTCGGCGACATGGACGAACTCAAGCGCGTCTTCACCCGCTTCGACACCAACGGCGACGGCAAGATCTCCGTCACCGAGCTCGACAGCATCCTCCGCTCTCTCGGATCCACCGTCCCCGCCGACGAGCTCCAGCGCGTCATGGAAGATCTCGACACCGACCGCGACGGTTTCATCAACCTCACCGAGTTCGCCGCCTTCTGCCGATCCGGCTCAGCCGACTGCGACGCGTCCGAGCTTCGCGAGGCCTTCGATCTGTACGATAAGGACAAGAACGGCCTCATCTCGGCGACGGAGCTTTGCCAGGTGTTGAACACTCTCGGAATGAAGTGCTCCGTTGATGAATGCCACACTATGATCAAATCCGTTGATTCTGACGGTGACGGTAACGTTAACTATGAGGAATTCAAGAAGATGATGAGCAATAACCGTCCTAGTGGAAATTGAATTTGAAATATAAGTAGTAGGCATTTTCGATTTTACTACTAACAGATCTACGCCCTTAGTATCGTTATGGCGTTGTTGAATCTCTTTAGCTGTTGCTAATTTTCTTCTTGCTTCCACTTTTTATAAATAATAATTACCGTTTTAGATTATGTTTCAATAGTTTTGTGTTACGTTGGGACTTGGGACTAGTTCTCAAAAAGTAAACAAACACGCTTGTTTGATTTCCTTATTTCTTGGTCAAAAAGAATTTGTCAATTGTTTCTTTTAATTTATGTTATTCTACTATAGAATCTATCAATAATTACTCTCCTTTTCAAATTATATCATACATTATGATATTTTAGTTATTCGATAAGATAAGCAAATGTAACTAATTTTGTAAGAAAATGAATATACAATTCATAAAATTATTTTGTATTAATTAATGACATTGAAAAGAGATATTTAAATAATAATAATAATAATAATAATAATAATAATAATAATAATAATAATAATAATAATAATAATAATAATAATAATAAATTATGTGACATCATAAGTTTTTGTTACATATCAATATTTTTAATGAAAATTAATTTAAAATTTTAATTTATTTTTAAAATAATATTAAAAAGTGATGTGATATCGATTGATGGATATTTATTACATATTCAATTAAAAAACCATTGTTTTCACCAATAACACATAATAAGAATGTTGGTGCAATGTAATGAAGTGAGAGAAGAAGAATGAACAAGAATGATAACAGGACTATTGTTGTATATCAAATAAGGGAGATAAAATTGGGTACAATATTGATAGTCTAGTATAACATATTTATACTAAATATTAAAAATATCAAAAGATCCTATTAAAGATAAGCATTGAGAATTGTAGACATTAACTAAATTATCTTTCCAATACCATCCCTTAATTTAGATATTCTATCAGAAGCTAACAACACAAATTTCATCTCTCAAGCGAAGAAATTGACCTGTCTTAATTGCCTTCGTCAGAAGACCTGCTAGCCGTTTCTGAGTGTTGCAGTGCATAACTTCTAACACTTCTTTCTGCACTTGACTTCTGAGAAAATGATACTTCGTCTCAATGTGCTTGCTTCTTCCATGTAGCACTGAATTCTTGGCAAGATCAATTGCAGACTTATTATCAATCATCAGCTTCAGAGGTTCCTCAACTTCAACCTTCAAATCATGCAAGAGATTCAGAAGCCAAACAACTTGACAAACAACTACAACACCTGCGATATACCCAGCTTCACATGTTGACAGAGCCACGACAGTCTGTTTCTTGGAACTCCAGGAAATGGGACCTCCCAGAAATTTAAACAAGTATCCAAAAGTACTTCTCCTGTCCACTCTGTCTCCACACCAGTCAAAATCAGAATAACTTACTAATTCTAGTTCTGTCTTTCTTTCAGAAGAAAACCGCACTCCATATTTCAGGGTTCCTTTGATATATCTCAGAATTCTGACAGCAGCTTGGAAATGAGACCACTTTGGATTACTCATGAATTTTCTAACCAATCTAACTGCATAACAAATGTTAGGTCTAGTATTGCATAAATACCTTAGAGAATCAACCAACTGTTTGAAAGTTGTAATATCAACAGAATCATCATCAGAGTCAAAATCTAATTTTTGATTGGTTTCTGATGGTGTCACAACAACTTTGTAATTATGCAGCTTAAATCTCTTCAGAAGTTCTAGTTCGTACTTCAACTAATGCAGAATGATACCCTTCTTCGAGTATAGAATCTTCATCCCTATGAAATATGTCATTTTTCCTAGATCTGTCATCTCGAACTCATTCATCAGAACTTCTTTGAACTTCTTTATAACTTCTGGGCAGCTACCTGTTAGCAAAATGTCATCAACATAGAGACACACCAGAATCATATTGTTATCAGAGTGTTGCATATAAACGCCATATTCCATCTCACATTTCTGAAACTTTTGCTTCTTGAAAAATGAATCAATTTTCAGATTCCAAGCTCTGGGCGCTTGCTTCAGTCCATACAAAGCTTTATTCAACTTGTATACAATCCCTTCCTGATTCTTTTTCACAAATCCAAGAGGTTGTGACACATAAACTTCTTTCTGTAATGGACCGTTCAGAAATGCAGACTTCACATCCAGGTGCATCAAAGGTCAATTTCTATTTGCAACTAAAGCAATCACCAGTCTGATTGTTTCATGCCTAGCTACAGGCGCAAACACCTCAAAGTAATATAGCCCAAGTTTGTAAAGAAAACCTCTAGCTACTAGTCTAGCTTTGTGCTTGCCAATTGAACCATCTGACTTAAGTTTCAACTTAAAAACCCATCTGACGCTGATGGATTTTTTCTTATCTGGAAGTTTAGTCAATTTCCATGTTTTGTTCCTTTCTATTGCCTCAAGTTCTTCTTTCATGGCATTCAACCATTCTTTCTTCTTGAGAGTTTCTTCAATGCCCACTGGTTCAGAATCTACTAACATGGCACACTGAACGACTTCTCCTTCAGAGTCAACTTCATTATCCTGCAACATGTCAAAATCTACAAACCTTCTTGGTTTTTTTCTGATTCTCTGTGGTCTTTGAGCATGTTCTGAAGTTGCAACAAAACTACTACCTTCAGAGTTTTCCCTTCCAGAACTATGATCACCACCAGATTCTGGATCATCATCAGCATCTGGATCAGAATCAGATCCATTGTCAGAATCTTCTTCTGACTCATCTTTAGAATTAGATTCATCTTCTAAACTTTCTAAAACATCTTCAGAGGCTAACTCTGGTGTTGGCACTACACCAAAATCTGATTAAGACTTGCTCCAATCCCATGTTTCAGACTCTTTCACCATAACGTCTCTGTTGACTTCAACTTTATTAGTTTCTGGACAATAAATCTTATACGCACCTATACTGTGATACCCCACCAGTAACATTACTTGGCTTCTATCATCCAGCTTTTATCTTCTAGCTTCTGGAACGTGTTTGTAACAGACAGAGCCAAACACCTTCAGATGACTGACACTCTTCTTATCTTCAGTCCATTTTTCTAAAGGAACAACTTCCTTTAGCTTCTTCGTTGGACACCTGTTCAGAATATATGCTGATGTGGCAACAACATCTCCCCATAGCACATGAGGTAGCTTTTTTTCTTTCAGCATGCTTCTGGTCATATCAAGCAAAGTTTTGTTTCTTCTTTCAACAATACCGCTGTGCTGAGGAGTATATGGAGCAATAACCTCATGTTCTATTCCATTCTCCTCACAGAACTTCTAGAACTCTATACAGTTTTACTCACCTCCATCATCCGTTCTCAAAATCTTCAACTTCTGACCACTCTGCTTCTCAGCCTTCACTTTAAACTTCTGAAACTCAGTAAACACTTCATGCTTGAACTTGATGAGTGTTACACATGTCATTATTGTGAACTCATCCACAAAAGACACAAAATATTTGTTTCCTCCAAGTGAAGGTACTGGAAATGGTCCCACACACATCAGAATGTACTACTCCCAGAGTATGCTTTGCTCTGGGGGCTACTTCTGATGCAAATGGAAATCTGGGTTGCTTGCCTTTCATGCATATCTCACATGACTTCTCAGGCTTCACAATCTTCAAAATACCATGTACAAGCTTCTTAGAACATAGATGCCCTAGGCTTCTATAGTTCAAATGCCCCAATCTCTTATGCCACAGCTTACTGTCACCTTCAGCGCCTTCTGTACTAAGACACGTTTCTTCAGTTGTTTCTACATTCACCTTGAAAGTTCTGTTGCTTCCTTGTTCAGACTTCATAATAAACTTTTGATTAAAATCATACAACGTCAAGAGATTGTTTTTCATAACAACTGAGAAACCTTTCTCAATCAGCTAACCCACGCTCATCATATTACTTCTAATACCAGGAACATACCAAATGTATTTGATCATAATGTCTTTCCCATTCTTCACTCTAAATCTGACATCTCCCATACCTTTTGCATTAAGATACTTATCGTTAGCACGTCTGATCTTTGTTCTCCTTCTGGAGTCAAAGTCTGTCAGCCATTGTTTGTTTCCAGTTAAGTGATTTGAACAGGCAGTGTCCATATACCACCAATCTTCTAAGAATTTTCCATCAGAATGAGAAGCCATCAGTAGCACAGGTTTATCATCAGAGTTTCTCTTAGCCATATACGCTTCTTCTGATTTTCTTTCCTTGTTTGACCTACAATATCTGGAAAAATGGCCAAATTGTTTACAAGAGTAACATTGAACCTTCCTTTTGTCATACCTCTCCTTTCCTTTATGATATTTCTTATCATCAAAAGTTGAGGTTTCTGACTTCTGGAATCTATCACCATGTTTATTCTGCTTATGGTCTTTCTTGACAAAAGAAGCCTTCAGAGCTTGCTCAACTTCCCTTTCAGAAGTTCTCTCAGACAGACGTAACTCCTGTGCTTCTAAACTGCTTTGCAATTCTTCTATTCTCATGGTTTCCAGATCTTTAGAATGTTCAATAGAAACAATAATGTAATCAAACTGAGGAGTAAGCGACCTCAAAATCTTCTCTATGATTACCTGTTCAGACAAAGTTTCTCCACACGCCTTCATCTCGTTAGTGACCAGGATCACTCTGGAGATATATTCAAAAACTTTCTCACTGCTCTTCATGTTTAAGTTCTCATATTGCTTTCGCAGGGATTTAAGCTTCACCTTCTTTACTGATGTGTCACCACCGTAACATCTCACCAGTAAATCCCACGCCTCTTTTGACGTTGTTGAATCAACAATCTTCTCTAACACACTTTCACCCACACACTGATGGATATATAATAGAGTTTTCTGGTCCCTCTTCCTCATAACCCTCTCAGCAGTTTTCTATTCTTCAGTTGCATCTGCTGCAAATGGTACATAACCGTCTGTAACCAGATCTAGAACATCTTGTGCACCAAACAACACACGCATTTGTATCATCCATATGTTCCAGTTTTTTCCATTAAAAATTGGGAGTTTGGTGTTCAAACTACTGC